CTGTCGCCCAGGCTGGAGTGCAGTGGCACACTCAGGGCCACCACAGCCTCAACCTGCTGGGCTTAGGTGATCCTTCCACCTCAGCCTTCCAAATAGCTGGAACTACAGGCACACACTACCAGTGTGGCTCATAAGTACATTTCTTAACTTATTTGTGCCTGTTTCCCCATGCCCTGCAAACGTGAGCATGACATGTCAAAGGTGGTTGTGAGGTTAAAGAATATCTGTGTGGCTAAGAAGAGTATCTGACACATAGTAATGAAAATATAGTTACTAGACTTTATTGCTATTATGGGAGCAAAGGGCTGAAAGAACCAATATTCCCCACAGCCCATGCCACCCAGTTAGCTGCAGGAGTAAGCTGCAACTATTTTCTTGTAGATACTAAACAGAACAAAGGGTGAGCCCTGCTCCTTCACCAAAACCCCAGACTAGGCAAAACTGTTCGAGACTCATGCTGAAGAAGGGAGCTTCATGAACTTGAATATTAGCAGTCACACCTACAACTCTAACCCCAAAACTGTAAAAAAGTTACAACAGTACAGCCCATAGGAAGTTTATTGTGTCTTCAAGACACTACAATGCAGATTCCTCTCCCAGAGAAGGGTCTTTCAGAGACATGGAACCGTCACCCGATGAGTTGCTCATTTGTCATTTTCATAGGCAGCTGGATTCTTCCTCTTGGATTTCTCGAACTCCTCGGTCCCCCATGTGTAGACAAGATAAAACACGACAAATGCTTTAAAAATCAAAAGTGAGAGTACGCAGTGAGCACACATAAAAAAAACTCAAGAAGGGGGGTCTCTCCTCTTTTCTGTCTTACAGCACATTCTACCCTATGGCTCTCTCTAGTTTTCAAATAACCACTTTTAAACCAGAGGATCAAGAAAGGTTACATTAGACAATCATTTCAGGTGACCAAAAGAAAAGTCTACCCAGGAAAATGTGTCACCAAATCTTCCCAATCTGTACATTTAAGGTTTTTTAAATGAAATAATCGAATTAAAACTCACACGACAAACTTCACTATTTTATTTTATTTTTTTGAGTAGGAGTCTCACTCTGTTGCCCAGGCTGGAGTGCAGTGGCATGCTCACCACCACCACAGCCTAGACCTGGCTAATTTTTTTAGTTATTGTAGAGACGAGGTCTCACCAAGTTGCCCAGGCTGGTCTCAGACCCCTGGGCTCAGGTAATCCTCTTGCCTCGGCCTCCCAAAGTGCTGGGATTACAGGGTTGAGCCACCGCACCCGGACCAAACATCACCATTTTAAAGGGTAAACTTCAGTGGCTTAGGCCGTGCGACAATCATCACTATCTGCTGCACACAACACAAAACCTTTAATCACTGGTTTAAAAAAAAAAAGTCTAATCCCTGCACTTTGAGAGGCCGAGGCGAGTGGATTCGCTTGAGCCCAAGGGTTCGAGACCAGCCCGGGCAATTTGGCGAGACCTCGTCTCTACAATAAAATAAAAAATTAGCCGGGCGTGGTAGCGTGCGCCTGTAGTTCCAGCTACTTGGAAGGCCGAGGCGGAGGGATCGCCGGAGCCCAGCAGGTCGACGCTGGGGTGGCCGTGAGCAGCGTGCCGCTGCACTCCAGCCCAGGCGGCGGAGTGGGACTCCGACTCAAAAAAAAGGGAAAAAAGGGGATTAAGGTGAAGTCAGACGAAGACGCTGGAGTCACCCAAGTGACCTTAGGTCAGTCATTTAGGTTCTATGACCAGTGTCCCCGTGTAAGATGGGGAGGGTAAGACTAGCTCAAAGGCCGTCAGGACGGTCCATGAGAAAAGTGCACGCAAGTTACAGAGTGCCTGCCCGACCGCGAGCTCGCTCTGAAGGCAACCGCAGTGACTTCTGCTGCTCAAGCCAGTCCAGCCTCCCGCCCGCGCCCGGCCACTCACGCGGCACCACGCGAAGGAAAGACGCCCGAGTGCGGCGCAGCACATTGGGGATCCCCTTGGAGAAGTAGTGCGGAAAGGCACGCTGCTCGAAGGGTGACAAGCTGTAGGTGATCACATGCCGCATCCGCGTCAGGTTCCCAAACTCGCGGCCCATCGTGGCGGCGGCCCTGCAGGACAGAGGGCGGACAGGCGCTTGGCTCCCCTTCACGCCGCAGGCCGCGCGGGACCCCCAGCCCTGGATGCCCGCCCCGACACTCCTTATCCTTCCCCAGCCCAGGCGACACCCCCTCCCTCCCGGGAACTACTGACACTACAGGACCAGACCCCACTCCCGCACCGAGGTCACCTCGCCCTACCCAGCAGCGGATCCACCCACCTCTGTCGGTCGCTTCCGGCAAGATCGGCACGCGCAGCAGGAGGTCGTGAGGTCACTTCCGGGCGATACCATTTTCCCGTCGTTTCCAGGGGAAGACGTCCTTGCCCCCGTTCTAGAGCGAAGTGGCCCGGCCGAGTGGCCCGTAGGTGGGCTGCGGCAGCCGGGCGAGCCTTGTGGGGGAAGGCTGGGGTGAGCGGGCCTTGCGGGACGGTGAGCAGTCCCCGGGCCCTATGTGGAGCCGCAGGCAGGAGGCGATCAAGTGCGGATGGGGGGCAGAGAAGTGAAGAGAAAGGCCTGCTGCTCAGGGCCGGCGAGTCCTCCCAGCTGTGGAGAGCGCCTGTGCGCCGGAGGTCGGACCTCCGTACGACGGCAGAGCGCGGGGTTCCGTTTGGCCTTGCAGTCGTTGGAAGGGGGCTCGGTTATTTTCAGGCCATCGGCGACCCTAAGCACCTAAATCAGGGACACAGCCTGCCAGCCTCTGTTTTAGAATCCGCTGTCAGGCTGTCAACTTTCCCAAGATAAAATGCCAAGCCCTTGTTCATATTCAGTCATCAAATAATCGTCAAGCCGCTGATGAACGCTGTGGGCGGGGATGGGAGGGAAAGAAGAGGCCGCCTCCACAGCAGCCCAGTTCCTCCCAGGTGATTTCAGGTGGGGGTGGGGATGAGGGGGGGTATCATGATGCCCAAATTCTCCCGCGCCCCGGGGTGAAGCAAGGAACGTCGCGTGTGAAACGTTGTTCTATTTCCCCTAAAGTGCGTTCTGTTTAACTATCCTGTTGTCCTGTACAGCTCACTGACTTTTCTACTCGCAGTGTCTGTAAGTTTGTCTGATGGAGTTGCTGGCCGCATGTAGTCTACAGCTAGGCTCTCATTCAGCAGTTGTAGCGCGTTTTATAACACTGCTTTCTTGCCCCAGACCACGCAGGCTTTGTGGGCATACCTTAATTTTATTATTGTAGTTCCTGAAAAAATTAGTGTTAATATCTTGTACCATGAGCGTGAGTTGACTTTCTTACAGCAAATAGCCTCCTTCGGGGTGGCATTGGTATCCCTCATTTCTGCTTTTCATGGTGCATCTTTGCCTCATTTGTCTGAAACATAATATCTAGCCTGGGCTTGGCTCCAATGCCTGAACATAAATACTTATAACAAGTAAGGACAAAAATATTTTAGCGAATTCTGCCACCATTTGGGTGATTAATAAAGCATTTATTTTATAGCTCCTGCAAACATCTCAGATCTTTCAACCAAAATATAGATGAGTGCAAACAAGACTAAGGATTTCAAGATATTATACTTCTATGTTACTCAAGATTCAAGGTGATGTCCTCTTTTAAGCATAGTGCAAATACAGTGGCAATATTCCAAGTACGTACATATTCTATACTAAGCCACCTGGGGAGGACTGAGCAACCAGTTCTCTGCTCTGAAATTTCTATGCCAATTGTGACTTTCTCACTCTCCAAATCAACATGCAGTAGATACTTATTCTAAGCACCTGGAAGCAAGAGAGGCGGTTGAGGCGGTAAGGATGAATCAGGAGGAAGAGGAATCCTAATTCTATAGATTGCATACCAACAGATCTGAGTATTATCGTGAATAATGAGCTAGCTTTTCCACATGCCTTAGAAGGTTCAGCAAGCACCTAAGGAACATTTTCTCAGTCCTAATGTCTCTATTAAAAAAAGGTTTTATTTTAAGATTATTCCTCAATTTGTCTTAGACTTTCAGCTACATAGCTTGCCCATTAGTAAAACAGATAGCAAATTTTAAGTAAATGTTAGGGAAAGAAGGAGAAGAAAATTAATGATCAAATAAAACTGTGTCTAATGAGAACAAATTGGCTAAAGAGGGTTTTATCAACTGTTTGGCATAGAACTGATAAAAATTATCTTCAGCTAGGCATACTTGAGGCTTGATTACAGAAGTGATGCTAGTCTTCTCACACACCTAAAATTTATTTAAGAGACTAAGCTAGGGTCTTCACGGTCTTTAGGAAGAGTGGCATGGGGCAATGCGTTCCTTGCTAGCTCTTCTAAGTCATGGCGCTTCCCAGCAAATTCCTCCTTTGGTTTTGCTGCTTTGCCTGGCTGTGTTTTCCCATTAGCCTTGGTTCTCAGGCTTCTAGGGGAGAAGCTCAGATTGCAGCTAGTGCTGAGGTGGAATCTGAGGTTGAGCCTTGGTCCTTGCTGCAACCTGTAGATGGGAGAGACAGATCTGGCCTCCTTCCCCCTCTTTTCAAAGTTCTATCTGATGGGCGACTTGGGGCACCTAGGCTGCAGCCAGACTCCAGAGCTCTGCACTACATGAAGACGCTCTATAAGGCATTTGCTACCAAGGAAGGGATCCCTAAATCCAATAGAAGTCACCTCTACAACACCGTTCGGCTCTTCACTCCCTGTGCCCAGCACAAGCAGGCTCCTGGAGACCAGACGACAGGTGTGTAAGAGCAGATTGGTTAAGTGGGTAGAGGAAAGATGACAGAAATGTCTACATTTCAGTTACAGAAAGGAGCTGGGTCTATCCTTGAATTGCGTTTTATTTTGCATGATTCTCAACGTCCAATTGAAACAAAGCTGTTACTAGTTTCTTCCTATGCCGTCATTAGGTGTGCTTAGTATGATAGAATTTTAAAGCTATCAGAGACTTAGTGGCATCAAAGACTGAGGGAAATGTGGCTGGAGGTTAGCATCTCTTTCCATTCCACCAAACTGTTGACCCAGAAATGTGCCTAAAACATCTCATACAGCTATTGGTGTGCTGTGTTAAACAGGATATTTTCCCTTTGCTTATTGCTTTCTGTAAGAGGAAAGCTTGAGTCCCCATTTGGAGCAGTGGGTCCTCACAAGAACAAAATGTCAGTCAACAACTTGACTCAGCCACTTGGTGTCTTGCATGTGTGAGAGAGGAACAATGCTCTAAAATATTTTATATTCACGAACTTATGACATAAAACCATTCTAACCCAGCAGGGCAGTTGTGGCTATTTAAAACCCACCTTTCTTAACATCCCGTGATAGTGGTTTTAGAGCATACATTTGTTTTCAATCTCAAGTGTTCTAAATTAACTTGGATTTTTTTAAATTGACTTTGTTCACTAGGACTTAGAATGTCTTCTTAACGAGCTTGATAATTTTTTTTTTGAGTTGGAGTCTCACTCTGTCGCCCAGACTGGAGTGCAGTGGCCGCTCCCGGCCACCGCAGCCTCGACCTGCTGGTCTCCGGTGATCCTTCCGCCTCAGCCTTCCAAGTAGCTGGAACTACAGGCGTGCGCTACCACGCCTGGGTAATTTTTTGATTTTATTGTAGAGATGAGGTCTTGCCAAGTTGCCCAGGTGGGTCTCGAACCTGCAGGCTCAGGCAATCCACTCACCTCAGCCTCCCAAAGCGTGGGATTACAGGCTGAGCCACCGAGCCCGGCTGATAAGTATTTTTTATTATGGTTTTCTCTCTAGAAACCCTCACAAGAAAAATACTACTTTATTAGCTTCCTCTGTGTTTGAAGCAAATTATTGGGAATGAAACCTTAGAATATAATGAATCTATGATGCTTTAATTCACCACAAAATCGTTCAGACTTTCTAGAGATAAAATGTCTAGTATAATTGCTTGGAATGAGTTAGGGTACCAATTACTTTTTCTTTCCTTTTTTTTCCCCCCCTTTGTTTTGTTTTGAGTAGGAGTCTCACATTGTTGCCCAGGCTGGAGTGCAGTCACACACTCCTGGCCACTGCAGCCTCAACTTGCTGGGCTCAGGTGATCCTTCCACCTCAGCATTCCAAGTAGCTGGAACTACAGGAGTGTGCCACAACACCCGGCTAATTTTGTAAAATTTATTGTAGAGACGGGGTCTCACCAAGTTTCCCAGGTTGTTCTCAAACCCCTGGACTCAATCAGTCCTCTAGCCTCCAACTCCCAAAGTGCTGGGATTACGGGTGTGAGGCACAATTACCTTTTTCTGTATTAACTACCTTTCCCCTTTTGAGGCTTGAGGAAGTAGGGAGAAGGGAGAAAGCATGTTATGAAGTACTAATTCTTTGACTTCCTGTTATAGTTGATTCATATTTGAGCACTACTGGAGGATTGTTTTTCTTCTCAGGAATCCTTCCATCAGTGGACCTGCTGTTTAACCTGGATCGTGTTACTGCTGCTGAACACTTACTCAAGTCAGTCTTGCTATACACTATTAACAACTCAGTTTCTTTTTCCTCTGCTGTTAAATGTGTGTGCAACCTGGTGGTAAAGGAGCCCAAGTCTTCTAGTAAGACTCTCCCTAGAGTTTTACACTCATTTACCTTTAACTCACAGTTTGAATTGGGCAAGAAACACAAATGGATTGAGATTGATGTGACCACCCTCCTTCAGCCTCTAGTGGCCTCCAACAAGAGAAGTATTCTTATGTCTATAAATCTTACATGCACAAAAGACCAGCTGCAGCATCCTTCACAGGATGGTTTGTTTAACATGACTTTTCTGGTGCCCCCCTCACTGATCTTATATCTGAATGACACAAGTGCTCAGGCTTATCACAGGTGGTATTCCCTTTACTATAAAAGGAGGCCTTCACAAGATCCTGACCAGGAGAGAAGTCTGCATGCCTATCCCGTGGGAGAAGAGGCTGCTGAGGATGGGAAATCTTCCCATCACCGTCGCCGGAGAGGTCAAGAAACTGTCATCTCTGAATTGAAGAAGCCCCTGGTTCCAGCTTCCTTCAATCTGAGTGAATACTTCAAACGGTTTCTCTTTCCCCAAAATGAGTGTGCGCTCCATGACTTCAGACTAAGCTTTAGTCAGCTGAAGTGGGAGAACTGGATTGTGGCTCCACACAGATACAACCCTCGATACTGTAAAGGGGACTGTCCAAGGGCAGTTGGGCATCGGTATGGCTCTCCAGTTCACACCATGGTGCAAAACATCATCTATGAGAAGCTTGACTCCTCAGTGCCCAGACCATCATGTGTACCCGCCAAATACAGCCCCTTGAGCGTTTTGACCATTGAGCCTGATGGCTCAATTGCGTATAAAGAATATGAAGATATGATAGCTACTAAGTGCACCTGTCGTTAACAAATGGTCCTTTAAAACCTTGAGTCTATCTGTGCCTTCAGGAGATGCTTCATGTGTCAGATCTCTAAGTAAAATGCAGGTATGTTGTATAAGGAGCTTGTGTAGATTAGTACCTTCTGTAACATCTCTGTGTAAAGGAATAACATCAGTTGCTTCTGAGCCTTTTTTATTTCCAAATTTAAATTAAGTGTAATTATTGTGGAGAGCTTTAATTTTTTTCCTTGAGCAGTTTTTTCCTTTTCATAGGAGTCTTGTTTTTGCTGGGGAGAAAATCTTAATTAGCATAAATCTTGGTTAGACTTGCAGCTATATAGATATTTCAGAGTGTTTATTTAATGGAAGAATAAATTCCTATCAATGGCATGTTTGTGTGTGTGTTTTATTAAATAAAGATTGCTTTTATTATTTTTTGAGTTGAGTCTCCGTTGCCCAGGCTGGAGTACAGTGGCACCCTCATAGCCACCCCAGCATCAACCAGCTGAGTTCAGGCGATCCTTCCAAGTAGCCGGAACTACAGGCACATGCTACCATGCCCAGCTAATTTTTTGATTTATTGTAGAGATGAAGTCTCGCCAAGTTGTCCAGGCTGTTCTCTAACCCACGGGCTCCCCAAGTGCTGGGATTACAAGCTTGAGCCACTGTGCCTGGCCAAGATTGCTTTTAAGTGATCATTTGGGAGAGAAGGAAGTATCTAAAAGCTGGCCTTAGTTCAACTTTTGATCTTTTTTCAGAGTAAAAGGGAGGCTAACTTCTCTACCCAAATTCTGATAAAGTGAGATTCATTAGGACTGGAGAGTGTGCAGCACGGCCCATTTCTGTTGTCTTAGTGTGATTGTTACACGGTATATAATTCTGCTAGTTCACTGGCATGTATAAATAAACTGATTTGCATCAAACAATGTAACATTTGTCCCATTCAAAGGAAATTGCCTCACAGATTTTTCCAAGAAAAGCTATGTTTAAGTTTTTAATGTATTTTTTTCTTAATGTATTTAAAACCTCTGGCCTTATGGAAGGAAGCCAGGGAGGATTTTTTTGTTTTCATTTTTTGCTGGTTTCCTTCTGCTCCCTTCACCCCACAGATTGTTTTTCCTGGTGGAGAACTGCTCCTACTACTGAGCTTGCTGTAGTGACTGGGTTATATTACTGAGAGGGTCTTATGTGGGTTTTCAGTATCTATTTTGAAAGAGTGCTAGGAGCACCGAGTTAGGGCTGATATGATTCTATATTTGAGTCTAAAACCTTCATCGACAAACCAAAAGTAACTCTTAAATGCAGGAAGTACTTTTCATTCTTGTAAATTTTTTCTTGGTGCTGTTTTTTAACATTATAAATATGATTCACATATATAGTTTACCCACTAAAAGCATACAATTCAATGGTTTATAGTATCTTCATAAACATGAGACACCACCACCTTTGTCAATTTTAGAACATTTTCATTACCTCGAAAAGAAACTCTATATTCTTTAGCTGTCACCCCTCTGACTTGTCTCTGTAGATTTCCCAATTCTGGATTTTCACATGAATGGAGTAACACAATGTCTTTCGTAACTAGTTCCTTTGACTTAGTATGTTTTCAAGGTTTATCTGTGTTGTAGTGTATATCAGTACTTTAATGGCTGTATAATATATTTTTTTGTATAGCTATACCAAGTTTTGTTTATCCATTTGTCCATTGGTAGACATTTGGGTATTTTTTTAAGTGAGAAAGCAGGATTTATTCAGAGGACAGAAAGACTCCCACAGTGGGAGGGGACCCGAAAGGGTTGCCCTGGGTATTTTCTATTTGGGGCTGTTTTAAATGTTGATAAGAGGTCAGGTGCAGTGGCTCACTCCTGTAATCCCAGCACCTTAAGAAGCTGAGGTGGGAGGATTGCTTGAGTCCAGGAGTTCAAGACCAGCCTGGGCAACATAGTAAAACTTCGTCTCTAAAAAATTTTTTAAAAAATTAGCCAGTATGCCGGGCTCGGTGGCTCAGCCTGTAATCCCACGCCTTCGGGAGGCTGAGGTGAGTGGACTGCCTGAGCCTGCAGGTTCGAGACCCGCCTGGGCAGCAAGACCTCATCTCTACTATAAATCAAAAAATCAGCCGGGCGTGGTAGCGCATGCCTGTAATTCTGGCTACTCGGAAGGCTGAGGCAGAAGGATCGCGGGAGCCCAGCGGGTGGAGGCTGCGGTGGCCAGGAGCGGCCACTGCACTCCAGTCTGGGCGACAGAGTGAGACTCCAACTCAAAAAAAAAAATTAGCCAATAGCCGAGTGTGGTAGCACGCACCTGTATTTCCAGCTACTTGGAAGGCTGAGGCGGAAGGATTACCAGAGCCCAGCAGGTCGAAGCTGCGGTGGCTGGGAGCGGCCACTGCACTCCAGTCTGGGTGACACAATGAGACTTCAACTCAAAAAAAAAAAAAATTAGCCAGGCATGTTGGTGCACACTTGTAGCTCCAGCTACTCAGGAGGCTGAGGTGGAAGGATCACTTGGGCCCGGGAGGCTGAGGGTGTGATCATGCCACTGCACTCCAGCCTGGGCAACAGAGTGAGACCTCGACCTCCCCCCCCAAAAAAAATGCTCATAAAATTCATGTACAAATTTGTGTTTCATTTTTCTTGGGTGTATATCTAAGAGTGGAATTGCTGGGTTATATGATAACTCTAAATTCAGTCATTTTAGGAACTGCTAGACTGTTTTCAAACCAGCTGCATCATTTTACATTCCCACAAGCAGTGCATGAGGGTTCTGATTTCTCTATTTGAGTCTTGGGTTATTTTGTTTTTTATTTTTTATTTTTATGGTACATAATAGTTGTATGTATTTGTGGAGTACATTTGATATTTTAATATAAGCAGACAATGTGTAAAGATCTTATCTGACCTTTTTTTTTTTAAAGTCAGAATTTCACTCTGTTGCCCAGACTGGCGTGGCTCACAGCCACCATAACTTCTGGGCTCAGGCAATCCTTCAGCCTCAGCCTTCCAAGTAGCAGGATCTACAGGCACATGCCACCACACCCAGCTAATTTTTTGGTTTATTGTAAAGACGAGGTCTCACCAAGTTGCCCAAGGTGGTCTCAAACCCCTGGGTTCAGGCAGTCTTCCCACTGCCACCTCCCAAAGTGCTGGGATTACAGGCATGAGCCACTGCGTCCGGCCTGACTTTTTATTCTAGCCATCCAAGTAAGTATAAAATATCTCATTGTGGTTTTTATTTATACTTCCCTGATGACTAATGATATTGAGCATCTTTTCATGTGCTTGTTAGCAATTTGTACATCTATTAAGATCCTTTGCCCATTTTCTAATTGGGTTATTTGTATTTTTATTATTGAATTATAAGAGTTCTTTATATATTCTAGATATGTTCTTTATCAGGTATGATTTCAAAATATTTTCTCCAATTCTGTGGGTTGTCTTTTTGCTTTTCATTTTATTATAAAATATACATAACATAAAAATTTACCATTTCAGCCATTTTTAAGTGTATGTTTCAGTGGTATTAAGTAGATTTACATAATTGTCCAACATCACCACTCTCTTCAGAACTTTTTTATGATCCCATTCTGAAACTCTTCTCATTAAAAGATTACTTCTTGAGAAACCCCTTTGGGTCCCCTCCCACTGTGAGAGTTTTTCTGTTCTCTCAATAAATCCTGCTTTCTTAAAAAAAAAAAAAAAATTACTTCTTGTTTAGAGACTGTGAAAGAAAAAGAAAATAATTTCTCTTTTACTCTTCCTCCTGCCCCTGGTAACCACTATTCATTGCTATATCTCTATGAATTTGATTCTTTCAGGTGTCTCCTATAGATGGAATCATTAAGCCAGTCCCTTTGTGTCTGGCTTATTTCCCTTATTGTTTTCAAGGCTCATTCATGTTGTAGCATGTATTAGAATGTTATCCCTTTTTAAGGTTAATAGTATTTCATTGTGTATATATCACATTTTATTATTCATCTATTGATGGACATGTGAGTTGTTTGTACCCTTTAGCTACTGTAAATAATGCTGTTGTGAACATTGGAGTACCAATATCTGTTAGAGTCTCTGCTTTCAATTCTTTTGGATCTGTTCCCAGAAATAGAACTGCTGGATCATATGGTAATTTTTTCTTTCTTTCTTTCTTTCTTTCTTTCTTTCTTTCTTTCTTTCTTTCTTACTTACTTACTTACTTACTTTACTTACTTTACTTACTTTACTTACTTTACTTACTTTACTTACTTTACTTACTTACTTAGTAGGAGTCTCTGTTGCCCAGGCTGGAGTGCAATAGCACACTCATGGCCACCACAACCTCAACCTGCTGGGTTCAGGCTACTATCCCATCTCAGCCTTCCAAGTACCTGGAACCACAGGCGTGTGCCACTACACCTAGCAAACTTTTTATTTGTTGTAGAGATGAGGTCTCATCAAGTTGCCCAAGCTGGTCTCAAATCCCTGGACTGAGGCAATCCTCCTGCCTCCACATCCCAAAGTACTGGGGTTACAGGCGTGAGCCACTGTGCCTGGCTGGTAATTCTTTAGATTTTTGAGAAACTGCAATACTGTTTTCTACAGTGATTGCACCATTTTACATTTCTACCAGCAGTGTACAAGAATTCCAACTTCTCCACTTCATAGCCAGAACTTGTTATTTTCTGTTTGCTTTTTTTTTTTTTTTTTTTTTGAGTTGGAGTCTCACTCTGTCGCCCAGACTGGAGTGCAGTGGCCGCTCCTGGCCACCGCAGCCTCGACCTGCTGAGCTCCGGCGATCCTTCCGCCTCAGTGCTTTTTTATTTATTTATTTATTTATTTAATTTTGAGTTGAAATTTCACTCTGTCGCCCAGGCTGGAGTGCAGTGGCACGCTCACAGCCACCACAGCTTCAGCCTGCTGGGCTCAGGTGATCCTTCCACCTCAGCCTTCCAAGTAGCTGGAACTATAGGCATGTACCACCATACCTGGCTAATTTTTTATTTACTGTAGAGATGAGGTCTTGTCAAGTTGCCCAGGCTGATCTTGAGCCCAGGGGCTCAGACAATCCTCTTACCTCGGCCTCCCAAAGTGCTAGGATTATAGGCATGAGCCACTGCACCCAGCCTGCTTTTTAAATATATATTATAGCCATACTTATGGGTGTAAAGTGGTATCTCATTATGGTTTTGATTTGCATTACCCTGATGACTAATGATTTTGAGTATTTTTCATGTGCTTATTGACCATTTGTGTATCTTCCTTGGAGAAATATCTAGAAGAGATCCTTTGCACATTTTTTTGAGTTTTATGGTTTTGAGTCTTAGGAGTTTTTTGTATTTTTTGAATATTACTCTTTTTTTTTTTTGAGTTGGAGTCTCACTCTGTCACCCAGACTGGAGTGCAGT